GAGAATAAGACATTCAAAATCAAGCTCCTATTAGACTTGGAGTTTGAACTATACAAGCTTCATAATAAAAGCAATTTTTAAGTTGATTTGTATTTTATTGAGATTTCTAGAGATTAATTGCTTCAAGTGTTTATAGGTTCATAAATCTAAGATCTTCCTTTCAAATATTATACCAATATTTCAAATGTTTAACTTATATAGAGGAAAAAGGAAAAGTAAAAACACGTGTAGAAAAAGTTTATTCCTATTTCAATGATAGTTTTCAACAATAGAAGAAGCTGTAAAATACATGAATGACATGCAAAAGGGCATACACGGGTACATAATCTACAAAATAATGGAATAAAAATAATTCTGATGTGGATAGTCTGCTACACGAAGAGTATTGTGATAAGTAGGTTAAACAATGTCTATCTTGTAAAATGGGTAAACATATTGGTTAAGGAGCAAGCCCTTCAGATAGTTAGTAAGCAAAGTGAAAACATGTGTAGAAAATAAGATATCTTACTATATTACAGTGAATGGTAATAGAGCACAATTGCATTTGAATCTCTATATGAAAACAAAAAAAATAGATAAAACTTTTAAGTTAATCAAAGATTTTACTTTTGATTCAATAACTATTAAAAGAGTTTATGAAAAAACATAAAATGTAGAGCAATAGTATTAATAGATAGTATTAATAGACTAATAGATAATTGAACTCAACTAAGTGTAACGAAAAAGAAAAATACTAATAAAATTGCATCTTTCTTTATCTTTAGTAATAGAAATATCCACATGCATTAACATTAAGCAAGTAATAATGAGCTTTACATTAAGATAGTAGTAACAAGATAACATTTTAAACTAAGTCGTGATAAGATTAATTTGATATAAAACCACTAAAAAGAATTGTTAGAGACATGCAATACATTTACCAAAAGAAAAAAAAGTACCCAAGTGCATCAACAACTTATGTCTCAAATTTATTTTCTCTTTATTGCTAATTCCCTTGAACAAAAGAAAGAAAATAATACGTAAAAGGGCTATAAAAATATAAAATAAATAAAAGACATATTACTGCAATAAGATTAAGATGATACTACACTCGAAACGAAATAATATATATATGAATTTAGCACATTTTATGAGCATCTAAGTTATGCAGTTGCTAGCTTAACTATCCACAATGATCATAGAGCAAAACCTATAGTTGGCAAAGTTGTAAAGATATACAAATGAGTCAATTATTTACTTTAAAATAAAAATACCAAATAGTTCTTAATAAAGTACATAAATAACTTGATTTCAAATTATTATTATCTTTTCCGCATATAAAAAAGATAAGAAAAAAATAGAACAAAAATTATGATTATTTTTTAAAGAAATGTAAACTTAATTGGTGAGTGCTTGTCTTAAGTTTTTTTTTTTTTTTTTTTTCTGTGTAAATTTCAATTGAATGGTTTGTTTAAAGGAAAACAAGTAATGAGAAGTTCAAGTCAATTTTAGTTATTAAATTTTTTTTTTTAAGTTCATTTTCATATTCATAGCTAATAAATAAGTAAGAACATGTATCAATTAGCATACCTATGGATGACAACTATTTGTTTCAAACTAATATTCTTAAGTGTCACACTTGTTTTTAACAAGGATACAAATTATTATTGTTCAACATAAAAGCTCTACTAAATTAACTAAATTGTTTTACATGTCCTAATCATGTATTTATTATAACTATTAAATTATTTAGTAATTATTGGAATAATTCAGAGTATACATCTTGCTCAACCATTTAATAATTGGATAATATATTCATTAAAACTTGCAAACGATAGTAATATTTTTTTACATAAAAAAGTCAAATATATATATATATATATATATATATATATATATTTACATAAATAAGTCAAATATCTCACAATTTATTTTGTACGCTTTGGTAAGTAGTAGAGCCTTAACATTTAAGTTCTATTGGCTTGACAAAATAAAATGTTATTGAAAAATTTGATTGAAAAATAGTAAGAGAAACAATAGTGAGAGACCATATATGAAAATGCATTTCAGAAAAAAGGTTAGTTTAAAAGTCATAACATATTTTGACATCATATAATGAGAACACGAATGGAAAAAAAATCTAATTAAGAATATAAAAATCTGAAAAGGTATCATAAAAATTCAATTTTCTCCACAAAATTTATGAATGAAAAAACATCAAATTTTAACAATAAACCTTAGTAAGACAAATTAGGAGAGTAAATGGTGAAAAAAGTAATTGAAATTACTTGAAGTGCTAACGAAGAAGCATTGAAGCAATCCACATTATTGATAATAATACTAGCTCAAAATTATAAGAAAGTATGTGAGCTTCACTACACCGAAATGAAGATCTGAGAGTGATTCCGTTTTAAATTAGAAAGTGTTTATAACTGCTCTAAAATCTTGCGTTATCTGATGTGTTATATTTAAGAGAGCAGTTAAACAACTGCTCTTAAAAGTTAAGATTAGAGAGCGGTTCCAAGCGGAACCGCTCTTCAAAGTATAAATGTAGACTGCGAATCTAAAATTTGAAATTAGTTTCTTTTTTAGTTTTCTGCTGTAAAGTAAAATTAATTTATTATTACGTTTAAGTCAAAATTTGAAATTGATTTCTTTGTGAGTTTTCTTCAGTTTTATCACAAATCAAAATTGAATCTTGAGTTTATATGTTTAGTGTTAACCAAACAGTCTACATCTGCATGAACCAAACAGAAAAAAAAAAGAACAAATTAATAGGATGATTTTTAACGTTAATAGAGAGAATGGATGATTCATCGTTAATAAAGTGAAGAAGTACCTACAGATGTAAAAAAAATAAATTTGTTAGCGCAAAAAATATGAAAAGAGCAGGCTAACAAAGAATAAAGAGGTACCTACAAATATGAAAAAAAAAAAAAACTAATTGTTAGCGCATAGAAGATGAAAAGAGCATGCTAACAGAGAATGAAGTACTTACAAATGTGAAAAAAAAAAACCAATATGTTAGTGAGAGAAGATGAAAAGAACAGACTAATAGAAAAAGATGAAGAAAACATAAGAGAGCAGAGAAAACGAATAAAACTTACAGTAAAAGAGACCAACTTTGTTAGCTAAGAAGAAAAAATGAGTTAAGCGTGTTTCATTTATAAACAACTTTAATGACTTTAGAGAGCGGTTAATAGATAACTGCTCTTGCTCTTAGAAGTATAGTTCTGAGAACAGTTGCTCCCAGAAGTATAGATCTGAGAGCAGTTAATAGAGAAACGCTTTCTAAATATATAGTTACAATGCAGTTTTTACTAACTACTGTCTAAGTTAGCACTCCAAAAATTCATCTCTGGCATAGTACTTCTATTTGATTCCACTTATGAGTCACAACAACAAAATCATTTAATTTTTTTAAAAAAAAATCAATATTATTGTATGTAAGAAACTTGGAAAAAGAATGTTCTATCATGCTCTAAAGATAAGTGATGTAATTTGTCAATCCTAGAATGAAGATTGTACCTTCCAACTATCTACTATACAATAAATATTATGTGAGACTAGCTAATATTTGTAAGTTGACCTTATGAAACAACATAAATCAAACCATTAGAATTTGAGGTTGAGGTTATTCCTATAAACTTTTCCAAAGTCTCGAGTAGAAAATAGAATTTAAAAAATTTAAATTATAAAAATGCATACCTCTTGAGCAATAACATTCAAAATTGCATTATTTTATGGATCTTTTGAAAATCGTATTTGAAAAGTAGAAACTATTAATTTTCAAATAAATCTCTAATTTCTGAAGCCTAATAACTGCATTAGAACTTTGAGATGCAACTTTAGAACTTATTTGACATGGAAGCTTGGCAAGACAACGCATTCGATACTTCTTTTTAGGCCCTTTCACTTTTGAGTATATATCATTGTTCAATCTAAACTAAAGAATCATGTGAATTTCCTAGTTGACCATGTGCTTCTTTAGCTCATCTTACACAAACCACGTTGAAAACATCAAACAACCCATTTTCATCATAAGTTTCTATAATAAAGTAGAAATTGTTAGACATCATTTTTCTTTTTTACTAAAAAACAATTATATATAATATTCAAATACAAAACGTAGTAAAAAATAATATTAAAAGAAATAAATCATTTCATGAATCAACCTTGGAAGGTTCTTGGTTCCCATGCAACGCAAATCTTCAAATTTTAAGCCATTCCTTTTGGTTATGTTACATATTGTAATAATGAAACTAGGCATATGCTACCTACATGTATAGTTAAATTCTTGTTTATATTTAAAGATAATTGAAGTTTAATTCTTTGAAAGTTAATTGATAACTAAATTACACTTCACATTTACAAATTCACACTTTTATTTGATGGAGGGGGTAACACAAATTACTTAACTTGATTGAAACTTTAAGTTATATTAGGTTTGAAAAAAAATTGTTTTTTATTTAAATTATAAATTATATATAAATTATAAATACTAATTCTTGAACAATAAATTATAAAAGTATTTTTAAATGAAAGCATTTTTAAGAATAATTTCAAATAGAAACATTTTTAGTGATTGGTTTTTTTTATGTCAAGTGATTGATTACCTCTACCTGGTTTATCTTTTAATTTCGTATTAATTTAAAATATTTTATAGTTTATTCTTAATTTTATTTATTATATTTAAATGTTTATTATTAAAAAATATAATCTTTATTTTTAAAATTTATTAAATTTGAAAAGTATTATATAATATTTTTAAATTATTTATTTTAAAAGAAATAATTTAACTATAATTAATATAATAGTCAACTTTCATATTTTATAATTCAATAGACTGATGAACTTGAACTTGATAAGAAATCGAATGAATCAGAATGACTTAATCTGATTGGTCCAATCTCAACCGAGTCAATTTATTTGGCTACCTCTGCGTTTAGATAAAGCAAAATGTTATTCGAGAAAGAAAAGGGAAAGAATGAAGAAGCGAAGTGAAGGCGAAGACACGAGGCAATGCAAGCGGTAGCAGATGTGGAGTGAAGAACGGTGATTCACAAACGCCACAAATTCTAGAGCTTTGCAACAATGGCATTGACCCTGTAGTTACGTGGCTTTGCTGCTAGGTTCGTTTCCATCTAAAAAAAGGTTTTCAATTGTCTAATTTTGGGGAATTTCTATTTCTATTCCTATAAGTTTATTGTTATTGTTTAATAAAAGGAATATTTTAAATAAAAATTATGATAAACATTTTAGGGTGAGATACATCTAAATTTTGGCTATCTTCATTAACAGATTATTTAAGTTTATTTCTTAAATATAAATTAAACCAATTGCGAATTTTAAATTTAATAATATAGTTCAAACACATCAAACTGTACTTTCACGAATATCATTAGTTCCTTCCCTTCTTCCCGTGATTTCTCAGCCACTCTGCAAGCGTCTCAATGGAGAACGTTCTGGGTCTTATCAAGCTTCGTGTGAAAAGAGGCACAAATCTCGTAGCTCGCGATTCACGTACCAGTGACCCATATGTTGTTGTTACCATGGCTGAACAGGTTTGAAGCTAGAACCTTGTTGGGACTTTGCCCTTTATTGTTGGGTGTGAGTTAGATTTTTTTTTCCTTTGAATTTTGATGATTTGGGGCTTTATTGAGACTGGTGGTGGTGTTCAATTTAAAATTGTTCAATATGTAATAGTAACTAAGAATTACTAAAGTGGGGAAATTATGTTGTTTGGGACAACTACACCCTGAAGAAATAGAAGAAAAGATGTTTTATATTCTAATCAATGCTATATTTATCGTTGTCAATTGAGCTATAATTCTTTACAATAACAAGTTAACAACGTCGATTTGTTTTATTGAAACCCTATGAAAAAGAGCTTCAAGAGGTCTATTTGGGTTCTTCACAGCCAGTTCTTACAATGTGTGTGAGAAGAGTGTTTTAATGTATTTTATCTTTTTTCTTAAGTAAATCATTATTTCATTTTGACTTAAGGAGTGATTGCAATAGGGATTGTATGTTAAGGTAAACGCAAAAAGTTGAATCCAATATCTTGCTATTCATTTGTAATCAATGGTAAAATTTACTTTTCGCCACAACTATCTGTTACTTTGAATTGCTCCGTCTGAACCCTTAATTTCATGTTGATCCAGAAATTGAAGACTGGTGTTGTGAAAGATAGCTGCAATCCTGAGTGGAATGAAGAATTGACACTTTATGTAAGGGATGTTAACATTCCTGTACTTCTGGTGAGTACTTAAACAGTCTATAACGTGTCATCAGAATAGCCTGGTATTAAATTGTTGATGGCTTGGAATTGTGTTGTTCTCTTCTCTTCAGACAGTTTCAGACAAAGACACTTTCACCGTGGATGACAACATGGGCGATGCAGATATAGACTTAAAACCATATCTTCATTGTGTTAAGATGGACCTGAACGGTCTCCCAGATGGGCATGTAGTCAGGATGGTTCAACCAAATAGGACTAATTGTCTTGCAGAGGAGAGCAACTGCATATGGAAAAATGGAAGAGTCATTCAAGAGATGAGTTTAAGATTGAGAAATGTTGAGTCTGGGGAAATAACCCTGGAAATTGAGTGGGTTAATATTCCTGATTCCAAGGGCTTATCAGAAATTGAGTTTTAGGCATGCTTACCTGCCTTAATTTTATGCAGTAGCATAAATAAGTACTACTTGTATTGTCATAAGTTGATGTTAGTTTGTAACTTATGGAGTCAAAACTAGAATCTAGTGAGTTGCAGACATATCTAATCGAATCATTTGTTTTTATAATGATGACATGATGTGTGCTAGTAATCAAGTATTTTAATATTAATGTAAAAATTTATGCTGGACATAAATCTTAGATGCAGGTATTTGATATTGCCATCAAGAACAGCTAAAGAGAATTATGCAAAGGAGATTGTACCTTCAACCAAAGGATAAATTGGCCCTATTATAGTGCTCCTTGTGAATTCTACTGAAAAAGTGTAATTAGTGTAACCTGAATTTTCTAGTGTTTGAACCGCTATTATCATTTGGGAGCAATTGAGTTGCTTGGAGAGTGGTCTGCATGCGTTAGAAAAAAAGAATAGGCCCTGGCCCATAATATTGAGATATATGCATAAAGAACCATACTAATTAAGAAGAAATATATGCATAGGGAACCATACTAATTAAGAAGACCCCAACCTCTTTTCTTGCTCTGTTCTTGATTAAACAAGGATGGTAGCAGATCATTGCTTTTGCATTTAAATTCCAGCATTTGCTACCCACGGCATTTGTTTGTTTGTCTTTTAAACTTTTGTTCTTAGGCTTTGTTTGGGAGTTTGGAGAGAGAGAAAAAAAAAAAAAAAAAAAAAGAGTTTCAAAGGTAAAGAAGGAAAGGGGCAAGAAGAAAGAAGGAAGGTTAATATAAAACTCTCCAAATTAGAGAACTTCAAAAATATGTGATTAGGAAGGTTTTGGAAAGTTTATAAACCTTCTCCCTCTTATTTAAAAACTTTTAAATAAGGATAGCTACTGTAGAAGTCTTCCTCTTTCCTCTCAAACACCAACTTCCAAACGAAGTCCTAGTCATCATGCATTTACAAAAAATAATTTAGTGTCAGAAATAGTGATGATAACAAAAAAAAAATGACTTAAAGATAATGGGATGAAAATTAATATGGTCAATATAATTTACATTGCGAAGGAGTTCTCATTTATCAAGCAACTTTGCAAACAAGTTGATCTAACTTACACTTATTTCTAAAATAAATTTCTTTTCAATTTTTTTTTAAAATTAATTGCAATAACATTAAAATTATAATTATGTTATTAGAAATATATTCTTTTAGGAACTTTTAAGATATAACTCTACTTTTAAAATTTTAAATTAGTTACAATAACATATTTTGTTAATTTTAGATTTAAAAAAATTATTCACGTTAAAATCATACGAATTGTTGACATTGTTTATAAGTGTAACAGGTATTTAACATTCATGACAACGTATATGTTGGTGGCTTTGTTTATTCCAATATTTACAATATTAAATAACAGAAGATATGTATGTTAATAAAGAGTAATAAGAAAAATAAGTTAAACAATAAAATAGATAAGGTAGCTATTAATTAAGAGAAAATTGTGTCATAATAAGATGATAATCTTATATTTTTAAATAATAAATATACATAACTAATAATTTTAAAAGTCCTTTTTCTATCCATAAAGGTCTCAAGCATAAACCTTAGTAGTTTTACGTAAGATTCAGATTAATTCCCAATTTATTTAAACAAATTTAACGTAGTTACCATTTTTTACATGAAGAAGGGGAACAATAGGGCGGAGGGGGGGAACTGAGTAGATGTGAGGGGGTGAGGGATGGGGGAAACTGGGTACTTACTTTTCTTCTCCTACACACACACTCTTCATCACGGTCCTTCAAACCTTCTCATCTACTCCTCCTCTCTTCATTTCTTCTTCTAACTTTCTTACTCCTTGTCCATATGCATCCATATCATTCTTCTCTAAACGATATCTCAGCATCATCATCCCCTCAAAGAAGAGGAGTCCCTCCAGTAGTACATCACCAACGTTCATGTCACTAGCAACATTGTCACAAAGTCTACCCTCTTGCAAAAAAGAACCTCATCTACTCCCTTTAGCTCGCTGGTCATAATTTTATTACAGTCTAAAGAAAGATTTCATATTTGACACATTTTAAATTCATAAAAAAAAAATATCAAAATACATTTTGACATATTTTTTATTTAGTACTAATGTTCTATATTTATCTTAGTCATATTTTTCCGTGCATAAGGAAAGAATTAAAGAGCTTACTTTAAACAAAATTCAGGCTTATGCAGCTTAAACTAATAATTTGTTAGTAAAATATATTTTAGTATTTAAACTAATATTTCTCTTCTGTTGCATAAATATTTTTGCATAATTTATTCTAAGGATAATTTATTATAATATTACTGTTATATTCCATATACTAATTGACATGCAAGAATAAAACGAATTGCATCCATAACATACAAGAATCGGTCCCTTAATTAATTTTGGTCATGATCTGCTGAATATGAATACTATATTAAGTATGGATTTTTTAGAAAATGAATCATTATACTTTATGTACTTTTTTATATGATTTGTCTCATATAGATAAATAAATAGACAGACAGAGAAATAGATACATTGACCTCAAAGTCTGAAACAACATATATGCATAAAAAAAATTGTACCAGAAAAAGGTCTCACAAACTTACAGAAAAAAAAACACAAAAATTTCTTGTGTATAATGGCTCGGTTGTCGAAATTTTCTGGGTCCACTACCATGTAGATATTATATGGTTCTCCAGAAACCAGCGAAACTCCCATTTTCTTGTGGTCCTTTCTACGACTTCACAGGATATCACTGCACGAGCACGACTTTGACTCCTAGAAGATCTATCTAGTGCTATATATAAATCCCACTGAGAGAGTGTAATTTACGTACCATGAGGCTCAGAGAACACAAGCATTCATCTCTATAGAGGAATTTGGATTTTTTGAATCTCCTAGTTTTTGCTCCAAACCTAGTAAAGTGAAGACTTCAGCGCAGCTAACTCCACTTACTGCTAGATTTTGTTGTTGTGCTTCAATTGACACTAGCCACAAACATGGTCAATAGTGTTTGATCATTCCAAACGAGAGTAATGACAAAAAAACCATAAATTTCTGAACACGTTTTATATACACAAGTGATATGCAGAATATACCATTACCAGGTGCTCTTTTTAATCTGAAAATATCACTTGGAAACTAAACCATCTTATGACAAAATAATTGGCATATAGACAAAAATAAGAACAAAAATCTTGGTTGTTTGTAAGTTTATTGGAGATATTTTTTTATTTTGGTTCCTGAGATATTGAATTTGTAAGGTTATGGTTTAATGCCACTGTGTTTACCTTATCTCCCAAAACTTGCTCTTTATTCAAACAAAGCAAGAGCGCCAAACGAAACAAACAATGGCAGCTTCTACTTCTCCAAACTTCTCAACATCTTTGTACAATAATACCCAGAAAACAAATTTTCCATCTTCACTCGGAAAGAATAAGTCTTTGCAGACCCAATTTGGTTTCTCATTTTCTGTGCCATTCAACAAATCCATACGTGTGAAATCCTATGGCACTGCTAAGTATGATGAAGTAGTGGTGGATGAAGAACTGGACAAGATTAGGAGGCTTCAGAATGGTTCAGATGTTAGAGGAGTGGCATTGGAAGGTGAGAAAGGTAGAACAGTTGACCTTACTCCACCAGCTGTGGAAGCAATATCAGAGAGTTTTGGGGAGTGGGTCATCAATGGTTTAGAAAAGGAAAGGGGACACCCTGTAGAGAATGTGAGAGTGTCTCTTGGTCGTGACCCTCGTATTTCGGGGTCAAAGTTGAGTGTGACGGTGTTTTCAGGTCTTTCTCGTGCTGGTTGCATGGTGTTTGATATGGGACTAGCCACCACACCAGCTTGTTTCATGAGCACATTGTTGCCTCCATTTGTCTATGATGCTTCAATAATGGTAGGTTACATCAAACTTTGGATTTTCACTTGGTTCTTTGACCCATTTTGTATTATCTTCCTTTACAAGGTAGCTTTCATAAGAAACAGAAATTAAGACACCAAAATTGATACCAGGAATGACTACTACTTTAAAGGTATGGTATATATTGGCACTAATTAACTGAAGAATTGAAGCTACAAATTTTCTATGTGCGCGTTTGGTTCAGCTTATTTAAATTTATTTTGTCAGCTTTCTGAGGGAGGTTTTGAAAAATAAGATACTATTTTGGTTGAAACAGGTTGTTTCAAACATGCTATATTAGTTTTAAATCAAGGTGAAAAAGATAGCCTTGAAGACTAATATATTTAAAGGCATATAAACTAGGTGTGATGGTTCTGTAACAATTAGGCCTAATACAAACACTTCACGAGTTACGCAATTCGTGCTGCAGATGACAGCTTCTCACTTGCCTTATACCCGTAATGGTCTGAAATTTTTTACGAAGAGAGGGGGATTGACTTCGACGGAGGTGGAAGAAATATGTGACAAAGCTGCTCGCAAATATGCAAATAGGATGGCCAAAGTGTCTACCATGCTTAGTGTTCTTCCAGCAAGAGTTGATTTCATGAGCACTTATGCAAAGCACCTACGAGAAATCATCAAAGAGAGGATCAATCATCCTTTTCATTATGACACTCCACTCCAGGGATTTCAGGTTTGACCAAATTACACAGATATTATATATAAGTATTTATCGTTTGTTTGTTACACTAGCCAAACTCACTCTTGTTCTATCATTAATTCGTTATATTAGGCTCTTAGCAGCAACAATACTTCGGACTAATATATTTCTTCACTCCCTCATAAAGCACTGCCTACAAAATAATAAATTAATACAAATTAAAAGAGAGGGCAAAGGATTCAAGCGAGAGGTGAAACATGTGCTTAGTTGTAACTTGGTTATGAAAATATCTCATGACTTACATAAGTTCTTTTTTTTTTTAACTTATTTTAATAAACTTCTTGGGGTAGCTTATCAAAATAAGTCTTTGTTTAGCTTATTCCAATAACTTTTACTATCAAAATAACCAGTGTTTCTTTGTTAATTGCTCTGTCTATGTTGGCTCAATATAGTTCATTTTCCATTTATACTTTGCTTGTGATATATAGTTCATCCTATTAAAACTTAATATTCTAGTTGAAGTCTTCATCCTCTATTCTAATATGAACTTATGCCTTTACACTTCAATTGCTATGAAATACAATGTGCAGATAATAGTAAATGCTGGAAACGGCTCAGGAGGCTTCTTCACATGGGATGTGCTGGATAAACTTGGTGCAGATACCTTTGGCTCTCTGCATCTTAATCCTGATGGGATGTTTCCTAATCACATTCCAAACCCTGAGGATAAAACTGCCATGGCACTGACAACGGCTGCAGTTTTAGAAAATTCAGCTGATCTTGGAATAGTTTTTGATACTGATGTGGACAGAAGTGGAGTGGTTGATAACAAAGGGAACCCAATAAATGGTGACAAGCTTATTGCTCTCATGTCAGCAATTGTATTGAGGGAATATCCAGGATCAACTATAGTCACCGATGCTCGTACAAGTATGGCACTTAATAGATTTATAACTGATAGAGGGGGTCAACATTGCCTATATCGTGTTGGTTATAGAAATGTCATTGACAAGGGAGCACAACTTAACAAGGATGGAATTGAAACCCATCTTATGATGGAAACATCTGGTCATGGTGCTCTCAAAGAAAATCATTTCCTTGATGATGGTTAGTTCAAACTAATGTCAATTATTCACGCATGTTTTGATTTCCCGTGTTGAATATTATAGTTTATAGACCATGTTATCGATGATGCTTTTTTCGGCCTTTGGAATAAAAAGGAGCTTACATGGTGGTGAAAATTATAATTGAAATGGTACGAATGAAGCTTGCGGGATCAGATGAAGGGATTGGTAGTCTTATAAAAGATCTTGAAGAGCCATATGAATCGATAGAACTTCGGATAAATATCATCTCCCAACCTCGACATGCTAAAGCTAAAGGATCAGAGGCGATTGAAACATTTAGAAACTACATTGAGGTATATTATGAGTTTAATTTTAATATATTATTAATATAATTTTTTACATTATCTATTAATTAGAATTTATAATAAATACGACTTTTAAAATAATTATTATATATGTCAACGATTTTAGTTACATGACAGTTCATGATTGCAAATGACAGCCAAAAAATAACAATTTATGTATTCTAATTTAATTCATATTATATATATTAAAACCAGAAAACTCTTCAACTCCGTGATTTGAAACACAATGTGATTGTGAAAGATTATAAATATGTGGTTTTCTATACAGGAAGGGAGGCTTAAAGGGTGGGAGTTAGACTCATGTGGTGACTGTTGGGTGAGTGAAGGGTGCCTTGTAGATACAAATGACACCCCGGCTCCCATTGATGCTCGCATGTACAGGTGGAAACAAGTTAAAGAAAATGCTAGCAGTTAAACAAATGTGATTATACATTTCTTTATGTTATAATTATTCATAAAAATTGACTTTGTTATGGGAAATTCAGGGCAAAAGTATCAAATGATGAGCATGGACAACATGGTTGGGTTCACATGCGACAGAGTATACACAACCCAAACATTGCTGTGAACCTGCAATCATCTGTTCATGGAGGGTGTTTGTCCATGGCAAGAGCTTTTAGAGATGAGTATGTCATTTTGGCAATTTGATGTTTATAGAAGCTTTTACCATAGCTATGATTTTTGTGAGCTGATTTGGTTTGTCCAATCATTGCAGGTTTCTCATAACAAGTGGAGTTCATACATTCCTGGATATTACTCAAGTTGATAAGTTTGCTGAAAATGGCTCCGTGGCCTAACTTGAAATTACTTTATTCTAAATGCTAGTCTGGGCTACACGTCTTGATCACGGATAGCTATTGTAGCATTTCAATTGATATTATTTTACTGTGAATTATTGTATCATAAGCTTAAGAAAAGGAAAAGTATACAACTGCAATTGAGTACATATTAGTCTAGTTTGAGTAAAGTTTTAAAGAAGTTTTTATAGAAAAGAATTAATATAAAAAATAAATAAAACTTATTTCACAGTTAAAAACAGTTTATTATTTTAAATTTTTAAAAGTTAAATAAAAAATTATATTATTAACAAAACCAACTACAAAGTGGAAGTCTATAATTAATTTAAAACTCCAGAGCTCAACAAACGCAAGCCACTATTATTAGCAAAACCAACTACAATTCCTTAGCAGCATAATGAACCAACCCTTCACAAGCTGCAAGATCTTTCATTAAGCAAATGGAGCCATCCACATTAAGCTTTAACCTATCTCTAGGAGGCCGATACCAGGAAAGCATAGATTCCTGTTCAGTAGAATTAAGAAGAGAGTTATTAGAAGTAACATAATTCCCATATCATTTTATATAATTAACAAGAGACAAAAGACTTTTTAGCTTTCCTTTTAAAAGTTTTAGAATTCCTACTATTTCAAAGAGACTACACTACAATTCCAAACAAAACAGATTCCAATAATCCAAACCATTTAACTTGCTTAAGTTCAAATTAAAGACCAATCACCTAGTAAAGCCTAGATTGAAAAATTTACTCATATCCTTATCACCACTTGGATAATCCTATAAACTAGAGACAATCTCACGATCCCTCAATACATGCATCACATATTCTAAGGCTAAATTACAATAATCACATGAATCAAATTATGGAAAGCCTTTAAATTCTTATTTCTAAATAACTCTTCTAACAAAAAAAAATTAAATTAAAAGTTTTATTGGAGTATCATCTTTAGCAAGGTCATGTTTAGCAACAAGCACAACCTTACTTAAGAGTCGGTATGAGGGTGCTTCATAAACATGTACAACTATGTTTAAGTGTATGCATGGCTATGCTTGGCTCCAAATTATTTAAATTAAGAGATTTTCAAGGATTTTGATAATCCTATTTAAGTAATAATTAGGGCTTGGGACTTGGAAACTTTGGCTTCGCTGAATTTTGATGATTGTTGGTGTTTAGGAGTGAAGATAATTGGTGAAGAAAAATAAATACCTTTCCAACTCAAGAGAGATTTTTTTTATCTTGTTCATGTTTCAGACACTTCTTTTTTGACATTGAAAAATGAAATTTCAAGTGTTCTTTCTCGTCAGTGTCTTGATATTCAAAGTTTACGTGGTCAAGGGTATGATGGAGCTAGTAACATGTGTGGTGAATGGAATGGGTTACAAGCTTTGTTCTTGAAAGAATGTCATTATGCATATTATGTTCATTGTCTTGCTCATCAATTGCAATTAGCACTAGTTGTAGTTGCTAGAGAAGTTAGTCATGTTCATCAATTTTTCTCAAATTTAACATTGATTATGAATATTATGACTACTTCTCCTAAACGACATGATCAATTACAAGCGGTTTAAGCAACAATTATTGCAAATTTGGTTACTAGTAATGATATACAAACAAGTAGTGGAATTAATCAAAGAAGCACTTTAAAAAGAGCTGGAGATACATGGTGAGGATCTCATTTAAGTTCAGCTCAAAGTTTACTGCAGATGTATGATGCTATATGTGAAGTTTTTCAAAGAGCTACAAAAGAAGGTAATTATTTCCTTCGTGGTGATGCTAATAGTGCTTATGATATTCTCACATCTTTTGAGTTTATTTTTCTATTACATCTTATGAGAGATATCTTGGAAGTTATTGATGACTTTTGTCAAGCTTTGCAATGTAAGGGACAAGACATATTGAATGCAATGTCTTTGGTTTTCTCTACTAAAACTTTGATCCAAAGAATGAAGGAGTCAGGTTGGGAAAAGTATTTTAAAGAAGTCATGTCATTTTGTGAAAATCATGAAATTAATGTCCCTGAGATGACTAGCTTCTACATTCCTAGAAGAGGTCGAACTCGTCAAAATACTGAAAAAATTACAATTGAGCACCATTATAGAGTTAATATATTCATTGCTACTATTGATACACACTTGCAAGAGCTTAATAGTAAATTTTGTGACAATATGGCCGATTTGCTTACTTTGACCTCAACTTTAAATTCAAAAGATCTTTACAAATCATTCAACGTAGACAAGATCTATGAATTGATCAATAAAGTTTTATCCTTTTGATTTCACTGAGTAAGGAAAGATGCTTCTTAAAATACAAGCTCAATATTATGAACTTGATGTTCCTTTTCATTCTGAATTGAAAAATCTATCAACAATTTTTGAATTATGTCAAGGATTGGTGAAAACAAGAAAGAATTTATGTTAACAAGATTTTATGTTATCCTCTGGTTGATCTTTTAATTCGCTTGGTATTGACTCTTTCGGTTTCAACGGCTATTACTGAGATATCATTTTCAGCTATGAGCATTGTGAAAAAAAAAGACTTAGAAACAAGATGGGAGATGAATTTCTTGCTAATTGTTTGATTACATACATTGAAAGAAGATTTGTTGAGAAATTTGACACTGATTCCATTATTGACGAATTTTATGACATGAAGGAACGATGTGCACAACTTAAATAAAAAGTTACATTGTATTTAACTTGTATTCAATATATGGTATTCTTATTATTAAATTTATTTTCTTCCCCCTCCTCCCTTGAATGGTTTTTGGATCCGTCACTGTCCTTATGCCCATCCTGGGTTCAAGCTCCACAATTGCTTGTTGTTGTATAAGGATCGCATATGGCTCAATAGCAATAATTCCTTCATTTCCTTAATGTTGGAAGAGTATTACAAGTCACCTTTAGGGGGTCACATTGGGCTTACCAAGACTTTGAATAGGCTAAAGGAAAATTTTTTCTGGTCTAACATGAAGAGAGATGTTCAATAGTATATCCTTTGTTGCACTGATTGTCAACAAACCATATATGTTTCTCAGAAATCACTAGGTTTACTCTAGCCTATTCCCCCCCCTCCCTCGCATCCATGGGCGGACTTGGCATTGGACTTTATTGCTAGTCTTCCATCGTATCAAGGTTCTATTAAATTTTAGTAGTTGTTGATTGATTTTCTAAAGGTGCCCACTTTGGTATGCTTCCTACTCATTTCACAGCTTGCAAAGTTGTTCACCTTTTTATTGACATTGTTTGCAAGCTCCATGGTTTTCCTAAGAGTCTTATCTCAGAAGATTGCGATCTGATTTTCATGAGTCATTTTTGGAGGGAACTTTTCAAACTCAATGGTACCAAGCTTCATATGAGCACAACATACCATCCATAGAGTAATTTTCAAACAGAAGTATTGAACCGTATATTACAGTAGTATTTGAGAGCTTTTGTGCATCACAATCCATCTCAGTGGGGCAAGTTTTTGAGCCTAGCAGAATGATGTTATAACACTACTTGGTATTCCACAACCAATTTAACTCCTTTCCAAGTGACTTATGGGAAACACCTCCCAGTATTGAACTGTATATTGCAATAGTATTTGAGAGCTTTTATGCATCACAATCCATTTCAGTGGGCCAAGTTTTTGAGCCTAGCAGAATAGTGTTATAACACTACTTGACATTCCACAACCAATTTAACTCATTTCCAAGTGACATATGGGAAACCTCCTCCTAGTACCCGTCAATATATTTCAAGTTCTTCTCCTGTGGAAGCTGTTGATTCTATTCTTTCTTCCCGTAAAGACATGTTCAACACCCTCAAGAAGAAACTCCAGAAAGCCGAACAACAGATAAAAAAGACTGTAGATTCACATCGCCTAGATGTTACTTATGCAGCCAGTGATTAGGTCTATCTGAAACTACGCCCTTATAGGCAGACTTCACTGTCTGGTACCACTTACCGAAAATTGGGCAAGCGATATTTTGGTCCCTATCAAGTCACTGCAGTGATTGGCTTTGTTTCTTATCGCCTTGCTTTACCCAACACTGTCAAGATTTATCCAATATTCCATTGCTCTTTACTGAAACCACACCATGGTCTAGTGCAGCCTCCTTAACCTCTCTCTGTTGAGGTTCTGGATGGTAAACCAATTCTTCAACCTCTTTCTATTCTGAATTTCAAATGAGACTCTTCTGTTGACTCGCCCCAAAGGCTGGTTCTTGTCCAGTGGCTTGGATTACAGCCCGAAGATACTACTTGGAAACCTTGGGATGATTTGAAGACCACTTAGCACCTTAAGGACAAGTTGTTTCTTCAAGGGATGGGGAACAATAGCACCCACGGCCTAGAGGAAGATATGGATCACAGGCCCAAGAGAACCATTAAATGTCCACAAGACTAGAATGATTTTATTCATTGAAATGCTGGTTATTGTTATTCATGTTTCTGATTCATAGTTGTTAGGAGAATATTGGGTTGTCAATTTATTTAGTTGCTCTATTATTCTATTTGTTATCCAGTATTATAGTGATGAAAGTAATAATTGATGATAACTAGTCAATTTTAGAAAAACTGTAACTTCTCTCTGCCTCCAACTCAGGAAACTGTTATTCCTATTTCATTCCCCTATCACAAACCCACACACATATCCCACTAATCCAAACATTTGAATCCATATATTCACAATCCATCAAAGCACGTTCAATACTCTTCTTGAAGCATTGTTACAACATTGACAGATAATTAGGCATCTAAAGCCATGACCTACCAAACGTGGCTCATTAAAGCAAGAAAGTGTTCCCCAATGCTTCTTTCTCCCCTTTTGTTTCTAGTTTTTAGTTGTATGAGTCACTTCACATGTGCGAAAACCTTCGTCCATACGATCGAGGTACCTCAAATTATATAATAATAAGTAGAGTACATAGTTGAAATGTGAGTATCATTATTCATGTTAATGTACTATATATGTATAAGAGCAGAGCGTGGAGTCAATGGTCCCTTATTGAAGTTTGGGTTCTAATAGAAGCGCCATTTCTCAATGTGACCAGCAAGTGTTAGACCTCTGTTTCCTGGTATCGAAGGAGAGGTTGACGGCGAGTGGTTACCATGATCTTAGCAAACAAAATGAGAATATGAATTTATCATTTTTCACAGTGGCGTGCCAATATGATCTAATATATACA